TTATATCTCAAGAATCTAAGAAACTTTCGGAAATTTTTATGTTCAAGGATTGTTGACGGAGTACAGAGGTCTACCCACCAACACGGTCAGATCCGTGGTCCGTGCGCAAAACACCACTTTATCAGTGAGAGTAGTTTTATGGACAGTTTCGTACGGTCTGGCATTCTTCCAAGTGATCCGGAGGACCGGGCGTTGTGGTAATCGGGCAGGGTATGGTCCATAGTATTTGGCGAATGTCGGAGGATGGCACAATTATGTTCGCACACGATCACATAAGCTACGGGTACTCCACGTCAGTTTACATTTGCATTTCAACATGAAGAACAATTTTTGAAAATTTACAAAAATTATCTCCGGCCTCTCCTATCAAATCTTACAGAATGGACACAAAAGAAGAACTCTCAACGCTTTTTACCCCTCATTTTTGTCATGCTAGCGGCACCAAAGTGCATGTTTCAAAATAATAGGAAAGAAAAGGCTTAGTAGGACGCAGAGAAAAAAATCGAAGAGACGATTACGAGTGTGCTTCAAAGTTCTCTAAACTTGCTAGCTATTTGTGCATTTGCGGCATCAGCCACACTGTTGTGTGCGCCCTGTCGTGCCCTACATTTAGAGTGAATCAGAAGTTTTCAAAAACTTCCGGAATTTTACAGAACCTTACATAAAAAGAGTAACAGAAAATATCTGACAGTTTGATATCAATGCTATAGATCTTGGGACTGATAATGACCAATTTCAGACTTCTTACCTTGCTTCTGAGTTAAGCATGGTTACTATTTCCTCCGCCTATTCATAATACGCAGGGGCAATCACCTTCTTTTGTTAGTCTCAGATAAATGTTGGTCACCACTAGGAAATTTTCACTTCACTCATAAAGTCACTTCATGGCCTAAGGCATGGGCGCAGATGCGCAGATGTATGGAAATTTTTTTGGTGTTGAAATTTGCTCAGCGCCCAGATCTACGCAGATGCCCTAGAATGCAAAGAGCGGAACCAGAAAAGTGGATACATAGAAGTAACGCATTCGCTTGTACACCACAGTATATGAAGCTTTGTGAAACACAGATGAACAAGCGTGCATTAGTACACGCAAACATGGAGGTCTGGACTATAAAGCAACACTCCATGCATTACGTAGATGGCAAACAGAAAGATAAAGAGAGTTTCAACATTTTTGCGTTTGTTGTAGGAACTATACCGGTAGCGCTTCCTTGATGTCCCTCGTCAGTAGTTCCTAGAAAGTTTTCAAAAGTTCAGCAAAAGGCATACAGCAAGACCAAAATTTTTGACAGAGTGCGAAATAAGCATGGGGACAGAATAAAGACAAATAACTCAAATTCACCTGTCTCAATGTGAAAAAAGCGCTAGATTTTCTTTGAATTGTGCATAATTATGCTTTTGAAAATGGATGACAGTACCTTACCGTCCCAGTCAATGAAGAGCAGCTGAATTCTTGCGCTGGTTTCCCAAGAGTGTAGAACCCTACAGGCCTGTAACTTTAGGCAGGTACATATATAAATTTTCTAACAAGTGTAACATATTCAAAAGTCTCCACATGATATGGGACAGTAGTCCGAGAAAAAACCGGTAAATTCTACGACTTTCAAGAAGATAAAAAACATCAGCGTCATGATGTCCTCGAAGACTAGAGAAGTTGCGGTAGTCGTAACTAACAATGAGTGTACAGACAGGGCCCGGCAGGAGTCGGTTTCTAAGGTTTCTGAAAACGAAGTCTCCCCTGATTTTCGGAAGTTTTACGAAGTCCCCTTTGACCTACTTGCTTGGTAGAAGATGAAAACAAGAAAGACTTACTAGTCTGAAAGAAAAGACGTAAGATCAGGAGTGAAGATCCATATTGGAGCTGAATACTACGCATGCACAAGACTTTGGCATTAGAGCGCGATATTTAACAAAGCGAGAAGAAATGAAGGCAAAAAACAAAGGAAAGGCAATGATATGAAAATGGCTTTACGCTCAGGGATAGATTTTTGACCGGGGGATCCGTCCATGCTGAAAAGATCCGAAACTTATGTAAAGTGACGAAAATATATGCTCCAGACGGTCTCAGATCGTCTGGTGGCCGTCTGGAGACGATCTAATTTTGGAAAAGGTATCACTTCACATAAGTTTTCAAATCTTTTTACATAATACTTTCGCAAATAATTTTCTATACATACAGTTCAATTTTGGTGTCATATGCTTCTGTGTACGCTGTAAACAAGCAATTTGTTTATTTAAGCCTTGCTTTCAAATCGCGCGCACTTTTCGCTATACACGAGAGAGCATGTCAATCGTGTGATAACCTGTCTGAAATGCTTGTGTTCGACTAAATGGTGCTTATTCTTGGTGCTTGGTTCCGACTTTAAAAACGATATCCCTTTTGCTGTTTGCTTCAAAAACGAAGTCCAGCCTGCTTCCAGACGATCTGTGCCGGACCCTGTATACAGGGTGTCCCAAAAGTAAGTGCAAACTTTTCGATCGTAAATAACTGTATTCCCACAAAGTCTATTGCTTAGCCTTGAGTAGCTCATATTAATATGGAGCGAATCATTCATCGCTTTTCATTACCGTATGATTACTGTGGGAACTTTGAAGGAGGTTTTGAGCCCTCAATGGCTACATTTTGCCCCAGAATCAACTCTTAACATGCTGAAAAACTTTATCATAATGAGTCTACACTAGAACGATACTCAATGTCCGTGGCCTTTCGAGACATGATTCGTACCACTACACTCGTCCTCGAACGCTGATTCCGAATCTGCCTTCCGTTCCTGCTAATCGTTTTTCTGAGAAAAGTTATGGGGGAATTTCGAGCCAAGTTTGGCTGCTCAAGGGAAGGTCATTGGAATGGCCTCTACCGCGGCCACTTCTGGTCTAGTGGTTAGTGCGATAGCCTTATAAGTTGATGCAGGTGTAGGTTTAAATCCTTTTGTGTTTTCACTTTTGCATTGCTCAATTAAGTAACACTGGCACTTCGACCGTATATCACTGGGCAGCCAGAATCCGCGCGATCCATTATAACATCTTTGAAGCGAGTAGCAGAAACAGAAGTCAGATTCGGAATTAGTGTTCCAAGACGAATGATATACATCTCATCTCAAAAGGCCGCGGACACCGAGTATCGTTTCCTTGTTAGTCGCTGATGAACATGAAACTCCTACCCTACCGTAAGGCATCTTTCATAAGTTATGCAAGTTTAACTGCAAAAACGTCTTTTTCACTGTTTTTTAAAATGTGATTGAACCACTTGAAACGCTTTAAAGCTCACCAAGTTTTTTTTATGTAGTCAGCGTTCCTAAAAACACTGCCACACAGTCAGGTTTCCGGGAATTCTCTTTTGGACAGCCTAACTTACAGTCTGCCTCAATCGGGATCAGGCCGAACCGCCGGGTGAATTTGTGCGCTTGCAGCGCTAGGGGTTTACGCTGCATACGCGCGCTGTCGAAGAGACCGAAGAGATTGAGGAGAGAGCAGACTAGCTAGCTGCAGACGTGACGCAATACCCTCGCGACTCGTACTCCCGCCATGCCCGTTTTGGCCTGGTTGAGATTGGGGCAGACTGTACAATGCTGTCACATGTTGGAAGTTCCCACCAAATTCTACATTGATCAAGATCGATGGCGAACCGCATTATGCCATTCATCTAACAGGAGAATGGTCAGAAATCAAAGTGGCCAAGCCAAGCTAGCTGCATATCATTCGATGCAGCATTCAACGCTGATTTCCAATCTGTATTCTAAATCTGTTTAGCGCCTTCGTGAGCGAAGTTATTGGCAGTTTTATTGCAAAAAATCGTGCATAAAAAATTGCGAAATTGAGCACGTATTTGCACTTTTAGCTCACCTTTAGTCTTTAAGGCATGCTGCCCTTGCCTAGAAAGCTCCGTTACGCGCAAGTCATTCTAATACGCGCGGACGAGCTTGCGATTCTCCCTGACCCGTCAGAGAAGGCATGAAGCAATGTTATAACTGCGAGGGTCCCGCAACGATTCTGCCTCTCTAACCATGGCGGGACATGCTCCACTCGTCCAAATTCAAATGGGAGGCCTTGGAAAATGGTGGTTTGCCATTTTCGCTCTCTTCAAGGTGAATCTTCGGAATTTGCCTCGAATTGCCCAGGTAAGCAAAAATACTTCAAGTTGAGAATCTGCCGAGCCGCTGCCTTTAAGCCGAACAGGGCTCTGACCGTCAGACTTGCGCTTCGTATGCACGATTTCTTAGCAAAACAACGGCTTTCAACGCTTCATAACTTCGCCCACATAGGTTTTAAGCAGACACAGATACAGACTCGAAGTCGGCGTTGCTGTACCTAATAGTATACAGCTTGTTTGGATTGGCCACTTCGATTTCTGGCCATTCTCTTATGAGCAAAAAATGGTCAAAATTTAACCCAGCCATACCAAGCATGCTACATATCGTCGGACTTGCCTTGAAAGCTGACCACAAATATATGTTTATTATGTGCCAAATGACTATGGGTGAAGTTATGAACGCTTAAATGTGCGATCTGTCAAGTTTTCTGTGACGCATGTTACACGAATTGCGTTTCAAAAACAGAGTTAAGTTCGGATCATTTTTTACTAAGCAAAAGACTATATTAGCGATTCGAAAGTGTGCACTTATTTTTGGGAGACCCCGTATACGTTGAGGTGAACCGTTCATTGAGGTCGCCCTTCGAATAGCAACTTTCCTCGATATTCGTTTACTTGTAACGACTGAAATCTAATTTATTGTTTCTTAGATGATGAGACTGTAACTCAGCACTTGATGACACCTCTATCGATAATCCCGACTAAGAGAAAGTTAGCAGTTATGAGCAACAAGGTTATGCATCCTTATCGCTTCCGCAGTTTCATATTTCAATAGTATTCTAATCTCAAAACCAATTAGCGTACCTTCGCTATAACTCGTCTCCATCGTGCTTTTTGTTCTCCCCTATCCCACTCATCCATATTCTTGTATTACTACAGTGTAACTGTTGCAAAAAAGCTTATTTCTCAGAGGCAGAAGGAGTCACCATACGGAACATATCGAAGCAACGAAACATCGCCATACAACAGCACCTCCGCCTACTCGAGCTCACCGTCCAGAGATGTATGTTGAACTGTACAAAGCTAAGTTTCGTTTTGCATATAATCTCTCGATATTTAGTTAGACTTTTGGGAGCAGATGGAAGGAAGCGGAGGAGATCAACAAGATTACATGGCTGCTGGTCCATCCGGACTACAATGTTAGTTTCTGACAAAAAAATCTGGTAATGATCGTAAGCATAATCTAAGTGAGTGCAGTTGAGACCGGAAGTTTCTGCAATACTGTAAAAAAAACTGGGAATAATAACTTCACACCGAAATACCATGTATGCAAGTTTGATTTTTTTTTGTTAGTCGTTTTTGACGAACAAGACGGAAAATTCAGATAATTACTACTGACAGCCTACACTCTGTTCCTGTCGAAAACTTCCTTTTCTCGTGATCGCATCTGCTCTATTGCTATCAGCTTATTCAGAAACAAAAACAAATATGAAATTGCAGAACTTTTTGATAGTAGGTCATCAACATGTGCTTGCTTAAAAATAAATGACTCCACGTCAAGCCTGCTTCTCGAATAGTAAATTGACATGTCATTATGTTATCAAAGCATAGGTACTACGTAATCAATCCTTGTCTTTATGGGGCATTAGATTTGAAGATCTGATTGCTCAAAACTCAAACCCCTTTTGCTCAAGTGATACTCACGGCAGAACGAAGATATGATTTTCTGTGCTAAAATCGAGGAACTCCATTCTCCGTAAACACATGTTCTACACTACTGGCTAAAACTCCAAAAATGCCCTACTTCGACTGGTTCTCATTAAGTGCTATAGCATCTATCCTATGTATGTGTTTGGGGCCATCGCTCCCAACGTGCGCCATCGCACACACTTGGGTGCTATGGCGTACAGTGGATAAGTGTTGCGTGCCATTGCTCCCTTTGGGGGCCACGGGACACATGGGGGGCGATGGCACTCATCCTGGATCTTACGACTAAGCGTAGCTAAGCAACTAAGATTTTGTTAATAAATGCTTGTTCAAAAGCCTTATTCGGGATTCAAATTTGAGCTAAATCAGATCAAGCTGAAGCGAGTTATGATTTTTCATAAAAATTTAATTTTTATCTTCATAATTCGAAAAAGCATGTATGAGCAATAATTCTCAGAACGCTCTAGAAACGTCATTTGCTTACTCCTTTGAAACTGTGACTGTGACTCCGCTGTTCAATGATAATATCATTTTATCACTTATCGTTGATAAAATAATACAGGGTTTCCGTAAAGTATGTATACACTGTTTGATCGTTAATATCTCTTTTCCCAAAAAGTCTTTTGCCTTGCTTCAGGTACCATTTTGTAGAGCTGGCTTCAACTTAGATTTGCAGTATGGAGCGAATTGTCCATCTTTCTCCTTTACTGTAGGATTACGGTAGAAAGTTGAAAGAGGGTTTTGGGCCATAAAAGGCCATATTTTGCCTTAGAAAGGAGACAAAACAGCCTGAAAACTTTTACACTAAGCTAATTAGAGTTGGTGATTCTAATTGTAAAGTTCCCAACTTATTGTGGTGCTTCATTGAAGAGTTATACTGGTAAGAGGTAGCGGCCATTTTTTCAATGTTCCTAAAAAGTGCGGTTGCACCCTTAGAAAGCTTCGCAATCTTGTGAATAGTTGAGTATTGAACTCAGCGTCCATAAAAACCCCATTACACAAGTTTTCACATTTTTTTGAAAAATGCTGCGGCAGCTTTTTCCACATTGACACCATATGTTTCAAGTTTACCGTAATACTACAGTAATGAAGAAAGATTGGTGAATCGCTCCATACTGCAAATCTAAGTTGAAGCCAGCTCTACAAAATGGTACCTGAAGCAAGGCAAAAGACTTCTTGGGAAAAGAGATATTAACGATCAAACAGTGTATACATACTTTACGGAAACCCTGTATTATTTTATCAACGATAAGTGATAAAATGATATTATCATTGAAGCGGAGCTTAGAGTTTACCCCTATAAAGCGTGTAAATGCGGAAATTCTCCAATTCTGCTGATTTACATGCAGGAAAGCCCAAATAAAGGCTAAATGGAGTTGCTGGAAGGAAATATTAATATATTGGGTGTAGCATCAAAGGTGGGCGGGGCTTAAAGTTTACAGCTAAAAAGCGATAAAATCGTTATTTTAGAGTTAGTGAACCACCAAAACCTCAAAGTCGCTAAAATCGATATTCTGGAGGTTGCGAAATTCCGAAAATCGATAAAATCGGAGATTTGGAGAATTTGGAGATTTCGCAACCTCAAAAATTTCGATTTTGCCAATTTTGAAGATTCGCACACCCACTTTCAAACCCCAAGGCTCCATTCACTTCACTAGACTCCGCCCACTCCCAAGCCCCCCCCCCTTTCCTCCCAACTCTACAAAATGAGCGAAAAACTAAGCGAAAAATTTGAAAAAGTGCGGAAGAACTTCACTTCCAATGCTATTATACAGCTAAAACTCGTCCAAACAAGCTCCGCCCACTTTCTTCCCCACAACACGATCAAAATTAAAGAAAATAAGGAAAAATAAGGAAAAATAAGCGAAAATCGCGTTTTAACCCTATTTACCCCCTTTCTAGCCGTTTCTAGCCCCTCACCCGGTCCAGATGGCCGCCGGGTAACTATCACACGCGCTGCAGTAATAAAGAGAGGGAAAAATGAGGGGGGAGAAAGAGGAGAAATTGCGAGATCTGAACTTTAAAAAAAACGGGAAGTTTCATAGATGGGCACCCACAGACGGAGTCCCTACATTTTCCCCGATTTATATGTGGTGTCCCCCTCGAATACAAATAGAAGAATGGCTATATCAGGACGTCATCCCTACTCTCCACGCAGATAAAATTCAAAATATGCATCATCGCCTTTATATAGCGCCTCGTACAGGGAATCTCTAGGCACAAGCTACCTCTTGAAAAATGGAGCTACTAAAAGTATATATCAATGACCACATGAGATTACCCCAGCCCTGCAACTTGTAGAGATATAAGGGCGCAAACTCGCCCCTACTGACAGAATGCCCAAGTTCGGCTGTCAATTACGCACTTTTATTGGAAATTTGTTCTTCTACGACCTTTTCTCCAAAAATCATATTTTCACAGATCTGTTCAAAAAAAATCCCAGCCCCATATCTATAATATTCGCAGAGTTATTAGCCCCCCAACATGCATGCTCAGGTTGTAAAATCGGCTCCTTCAAAGTTGCCCCGTAATTCCTTCAAAAATCACGTTAGACGCAACTCTTACATATATACACAATACAATTTTTGTGGCTCCTCAAGTGCAGTTTAGACGAGCTTTGACGAATTTTCAAGTTGAAATTTTGAAGCTTTATCATCCATGGAGGGAGTCTCGGGATCAAATACTCTCAAATAGCATGGAAAAGGTGCAGCACATCGATACCTTCTAGACATGCTATCCCACTACGTTCTTGGGGCGTTTTGGGCATCTGTCAGCCGTGATAAGCCTTTTTCAAGCCCAAAATAGGAGTTGCACTGAAAATACCTCCGTATCTCAACAAGAAATTTTTTTTCAAGATCCTTGCCCTGCTTATCTATTAACTACACGTCTAACCTAAACGACGCAACACACGAATCATCTATAACTCTAAGTAAAATTTTACGTGAACATCTAGTATGTGTATGTGTACATGCCTACTGCCATAAAATGGGATCAGCGACGGTTGCTTTTTGAAGAAAAATCAAAGATGCGAAAAAAAAAAACTAGGAAGGAACACACAAAGTTTCTTTATATCAAAGCATTTCTTGCGCTCCACTTTTGCGTGATTATTTTCAAGGTAGAGCTATGTTGCACATCCGAATAAGCTTTTCTGTTTTTTAGAACAAATTACTTCCACTCTCATTCTGTTCCTAAGACTTGTGTTGGAAGAAATTCTGCAGCTCTCGGCTGACAAGGGAGATACACTAATCGAAGTGATCTTTTCATATGACCGGATGAGATAGCATCGTTAAGGGCATAGAATGCTGATTCTGCTTTCCCTGATATCTGCTAGGCTCGTGTGGGAGAAGTTCTATTTGAATTTCTGAGGTGGGGAGTCGAACGCGCAGCCTGAGTAAAAGCAGTTCTTGAGGTCTTTTCAGCGCTTGTCTTCGTATTTCAGAGTGAGGTATCTACTACATAGAGGTTTTTTTTACAACCACTATTGCTTCATTCGAGCCCACGAAGTACGACTGCAAGTGATGTCATTGTAACCGCGCGTTCATGTTTGTCCCACAACTCGCATGTTCTATCCCAAAGGCTCTTTGCAGATATCAAAAGCAAGTTGGGAATCTTATTTTATGTCCTCTAATGCAGTACTATACATCTAACATCCAGTGATCACCTATACTTACCTAAGTATCCTTCCCATATAAGGCCTCGGGCAGAGTTCAGCGATTTCATGTCGCGATTCATCGCAACAAGACAAGTGTTACAAATTCATTGCATGCCGATCTTCTCGTATTTCAACTGTGGTAGTTAGTCAGGTTATTCGTGTCGGAAAACTATCACAATCAAAACGCAAAAGATCGGCATGCAATTATTATGTTACAGTTGCCGTGTCGAATGAATCGCCACAATGAAATCGCGTGAACTCTGCCCTAAGACAGAAGAGTGGCAGTCCATTCTTTCTCTAGACGCTTGACGACATGCCCATTGAAGACTAAATTCATTCTCTCCGCTAAAATCAGGCTTTATTACGACCATTATCTGGCAACTCTACATACAAAGAATCCAAAAAATTTGCTTCAGAAGTCTAAAACAAAATTGCGTAACGCTCACCAGACTGTGGGACTTCTGTTTCAAAACAAGCGAAGCGCCGCTTTGTGGATATTCGTGAGCATTGTGTGAAAATCCCCCTTTTTCTAGTGCCTTTACTTTGCTTTCTTGCAAAAACAACGCGAAAGGAGATTAAGAGAATATTGGCAAGGGCTGTTGTTAGATCGATACTGAATATGTTTCAAGCACAAAATGCAGTTTTCTTATTGTTCAAACCGTTAAGCATCTAGAGAATAGACGAGATCCCTTTGCTTCCATATTAAACGAAAAATTGCCGAGTTTTTCACTCTAACATTGTAGAAGTGTTATATGTGAGATCGATTTAAGCTAAAAACAGTCAAGCTTTTTTGAATGTGATGCAGCTCGACTAATCAGTATTATCAATGCAGAACTTTGCCTTGATAATACTGGGTAGCTCAAAACTAGCAACTTGTTTGATACTAAAGACTTCGATTTAGGCCCGTCTGCGCGTACACCGCTCAGAGGGGGAAGGACGGCGGTTTATTGCAAATTTCGATAACGAATTATTTTACTTATTTCTACTGCGGAAATGCCCAGCTATTATAATAAATACACAGTGCAAGTCACGGAAGGACACGATTAGTCGATTCTGGAAGGCATCCCTCAGGGAACCACACAAAACAACGAAAATCTCAGCTTGTATGGCAAGGTCTAAAATCCTTCATGCTCAAGGTTAGGGTATGAGAACCATCAAGGAAAGGTAGACATACAAGAATACAGATATTCAAGGCAGCAAGATATGACTCATCCATTCTCAGCTCCCCTTCGTTCTCCAGCAGGGATGGACGTACATAAGGCATTAGAATCAAACAAATCTTACCAGAAAAGTGCCCATAAATTCCTCAAGCATTGCAAAAAGAGGTATACGTCTTCAAATGGCATATGGTCACTAAGCATCCTTTCATAGTGATTGAAACACTTTCCAAATTGGATATAGCCAGCACTGTATTATAGAAGACCGCGTATCAGATTTTTGTTGGTAGTTCGATCTTGGAGGGCAGCGAGTCAGAATCTTCACAGTGACACTGCGATATTGTGAAAAATATGATTTGGGTTAATCGCTTGTTGAGTACGGTTTGTAAGGATGGAAATATTCACTTACTGAAATTACTTTTCTGGGAAAAAAGTAGCGTTGAGGAGTGGAATGTCAGTCTGCTCTTCTTTCTCTGAGAATTCCAATGCATGGCTCGACTGCATAATGCATATAGGCTATAGATATACGAGATATATGCATATATATATGCATATATCTCAATTGCAGTGCCGGGAAGCAGCACCAGCAGCTCTCCCTTGCGACCGCCTCGCCCAAATCTGCGCAGCTTTCGTGAGTACCGTCTGATTATTTTCCCATGCCTATGCTTGGGAGCTCCAGAGTGGAGCTTCAATCGTTGATTAGGCCTGGAAAAATGGTCAGAGAAGAACTTGCGGTGCAGCCCAAGCGAAGCGGCCGCGCGCGACCCAACCCGCTGATGCAGCCGACTATCACTGGAGTTAAAATAGCATGAACTGCACCTTATCTATTTGATCGAATCTTTGGAAACATCGCTCATGCGATTTATGTATATGTTCAACATCGAATGAATAAATAACTCATCAACCATTATTGTTTTCGTTCAGCAGAAAATCACCACATTTAGCATTTTTTCCCGTCACGTTTATACGGATCGTACTGATGCATGTTTCATTTCTTTGATGTATCAATAAATAGACAGTAGATTCAAAGACACTCGCCAAGTGATGACCAGGGTCAAGCAAGGGGTGTGGCACACGATCGCTGTTTACGACCCCCCCCCCCCCTGATTGCTGCCTTAATAAGACCCCCCCCCTGAACTATACACTTGAGATAGCATTACTTGAAGGCCCTGTCAAACATAATGGGCACCATATCCATAATTAGCATGTCAAATAACCATTGTAGACAAAGTGTGAGCGAATTCTGAAGATTCAAGATACTAGGCTACCTAAGTGAAATGGTCAAATTCCAACATGGTTAACTTTATTTCAAAGGTGAATTAGCTATCCGTTTTTGCACTCAAGGCAAAGCGCTACTCCTTCTTTGTCCACTTCAGGAATCCCGCTTCAGAAGAGCTCCAAACTGTGGAATTAGAAGCCAACCAAAATCTTGTTTTTCCCATTTTTCGCTTTTGATCGCTGTGCATTATTTAGAGCTAAGAAGACGAATCAGGCTCAAATCAATCTCGTGAAAACTAGGAGATCTAGGCTATCGACCCATATAAATAATGTTTACTAAAAATGTCTTTTTGATATAGTTAATGGGGTGCGGCACCCCCCCCCCCCTCAAAAGCTGCGGCTGCCGCAGCTTTTGAGGGGGTGTGCCGCACCCCATTAACTATATCGAAATAACATTTTTAGCGGGCAGTATTTACATGAATCGATAGCCTAAACCTTGTAGATTCCATAGGACCGTTTTGAGCCTGATTCGTCTTCTTAGCTCTAAATAATATTTGGTGAAAGCACAGCGATCAAAAGCGAAGAATGGGAAAAACGAGATTTTGGTTGGCTTCTAATTCCACAGTTTGGAGGTCTTCTGAAGCGGGATTCCTGAGGTGGACAAAGAAGGAGTAGCGCTTTGCCTTGAGTGCAAAAACGGATAGCTAATTCACCTTTGAAACAAAGTTAACCATGTTGGAATTTGACCATTTCATTTAAGTAGCCTAGTATCTTGAATCTTCAGAATTCGCTCACACTTTGTCTACAGGGGTTAATTGACATGCTAATTATGGATATGATACGAATATCATGTTATCACTATTATCAAATTACCCAACTACGACCCCCTCCCCTTTTGACTCCTCAATACGACCCCCAGGTGCGGCGTGCCGCACCCCACGCTTGACCCTGGTGATGACTCCTCCTCGAGGAAGTTACAAATGGGTAAAATCATACAGCATGCTTGCATGTGTCTTTTTGGCAATTCTGTTGTGAACTTCTTGGCAGGTGATCATACTGCATTCGTTTCCTCCCTAATTGCTTTCTGTCGATCTGCAAAGCAGTCTAATTGTAAGAAAGCAAACTTGTCCAAGACACTTTTGCGAAGGGAATCGTTTCGAAATTTTTACTCTGAAAGTTCGTTCGCTGCTATAGTCGTAGTCTCGCTGTACCAGCCAGTTACTCTTCTACTGCCTTGATCTACATAAATTCAACGTCATGGATCACCAACGATGAAATAATTTGTGGTATTAGGTCATAATACATTTACTTCCGATTGAGGTAGTCCTCGCCGTTAAGTTTAAGATCAAACAGACATACTTACAAAAAGTTCATCAAGGAGAGCGTGGAGCTTGCTCAAACATCTCTCAAGCCATCCGCTTTGGATAAGCGTGTAAATTCTGCTTATCTTTGTAATCCGTTTCGTATTAACTAAGCTTGCATTGGGAAATATCGTGATCTTCTGGCCAATCCTATATCTATTTTATATAAGTATGGGATAGATGTAAGATTTATAGTCCGAAGTTGTAATGCCTCAGTGAATCTTGCGATTAAACTCAAATCGCATGTTCAAATGGAATCAATTTCCGACATCGTAATTCACATTTCTCTCTAATGAATTGATCATTCTGCGACTTTTGTTGATAACGCTTTCTCCCTCTAGGTTACTCAAGCTTCTTGCCACTTACTTTTTATGGAAATCTTTGAGCCGCAAGCTCTGTTTTTCATTTTAAGAAGTTTTTTGCAGCCACGTCTCATCACTGTCCGCCAGGGACTCGAAAAACATCAACGGAAATAGACGAGGATATCGAACTGAATACGCTATTCCAGCGAATCCAGGTATGAATTGGCCTTGCGTAGGAATAGAGGGATATTTAGAGAGCCTGAAAGTAGAAAATGCAATTTGGACTCAGGAATGGTGTAAGAATGAAGGTCAGATAGGTAACTGAAACGATTTTATATCGAAGAGTAGAATGGGGGAGAGGACGCGTTTTGTCCAGAATTTCGCTAACGGTACGGTAGCTTTCAAGGGTATGTACCCTCGATATCAACCCATATGTCTTGCCTCAACATGACGTGGCTTATGTGGCTTGATGAGGCGCCGCCTCGCCTCGGGCTCGCGCCACGTTGCGAGCACATCATTTGGCGCGAAGTGGCGCTCAACACAACGTGGCGCAGGCTTTTCCACGTCCTTCTCGTTGCCACATCACGCCGAAGATGCGCACGCAACGTGGCCCGAGGCGATGCGGCTCCTCATCAATCCTCGTAATCCACGTCATGTTGAGGGAAGACATATGGGATGATATCGAGGGTACATACCCTTGAAAGCTTTCTGGCTTTTTGAACTATAGTGAGATGGATGAGTTGGCTTCCGATGATGCAAACGAAGCTGTCCTTACCAGAGTTCGAGGGAGTCTCAACATTGTAGATGCGAAGCTTTCGACGCATTATCCTTTTCAGCGCTGTTCAAATGCAATGTTTCAACAAATTAGTGGTTCAGGTAATATAGCTTTAATGTGGTAAGTCAGCGGTCCCCCACTTAAAGAAGTAGATGGTATAAGCGTACGAAGATACAAGCTCTTGAACCTGGCCGTGCAACCCCCTTCCGCTTGGCATTAACCGACTCGGAGATCCACATTGTCAGTCGAACTGTCGCTGTATGGTAACACCGTCCAGGAAAAGTGAAAAAATATCGAGAGTACTTTTTGAACATAATAAAAGGCAAAAGATCTATAGTATTCCTAGGACCTACGAATCCCTAAACGAGGACTTCTTTCAGCAACCTAGCCGGCGCAAACGGGTGCAGAAGTTGAATTGCTCTAAAGGGCACTTTGTATGATTAGACCTGATAGCCCAGTTAAAGGGCTGCTACGGTGTCATAACAGAAAAGCGAAACCTCAAATTTTTTGCCCAGAGCTGCCTACCGCCTATAGTAAGGTGGTGCTTCACAATACAAATGCGAGGGTCTTTTTTCTGTCCGTATCAGAGCTGACTTTTGGAACTTACTAGACTCCAAACGTTTGATCTTTGCTTGGTAGATCCAGTAGCGTAGCTTCACTGTAGCTGTAAGAAGTTCTAAGAATAACGAACGTAGGCTGAGCACGAGAAACTGAGGGAATTGTCCGATCTGTTGGTGTTTTACTAGGTTCAAATGGACTACCATCGTGCAACCTTTGAGAATAAAAGTGTTTCCGTAAACTTCAGTGCAATTTTTTTTTAACTGACATTCGGCCACTGACAATTTCAGGGAAATTGAAAGCTGATTCCATAGCCTTTTTCATTTTGAAAATTGTCATAATCCGTTACGAAAAATTTCCAACTATCCGAGAGAAAGAGCTTGCTAGGAATTTGTGGTGGTATACAATGTAGTGTACATGTTTACTTGCATGCTTTGCAGGAATTTGATAGCATACTGCTATTTCCAATTCCTGGGCCTTATACTCTAGCCTCCGAATTTTAATTGTAGTATGTTTCAGATGTAGTCAAAATTTGTACCAACTTTTCTTTTTCCATAGATTGTAACACAAATAAGATTTAGCTGGCTTTTGGATGACGGTGGAGGCAGAGCTATCTACAGCGTATCCATGTAGAGTGGTGATCTCTTTTAAAACCAAGTTTACCACATGCAGCCGTCAGTCTCCTCGTCACGCATAAGAATGTTTTTTGATGTGCAGAATATTTTGAGATTTTTTATCTCGGATCTATTTACTAATCGGAACTTGCGAAATATCCATGCAAAGTAAGCAGAATGCTTTCGTGTAACGCCTACTCTACCGTGAAGTGACCGTTGTGTAATCAAGGAAAGCGGATCTGATTGCGCCTAAGCTCGTCTACGTATATAAACCTGGATTTTGAATTCATTTGCAACGAAATCCAACTGACAGCATTGCGCTATCAGAGCAATTAATCTTCTTCCAAGGCATCCGATAAATTTTGTGAGTTAAGCACCCGTTCAATAAACCAAGTCCATTTATCACTCTCCTACTAGTATTCGGTAGTATGATGGAAATGTCTTCGAAAGTTCTGAGTATTGCTTGGTTTGAAATTTTCTCTTTTGAAAGTGCTTACAATCATTTTTAGGTTCTACCAAAGTGCGCATCGAATAAGCTCCAATTTTATTGATAGTGCAAATACTTTACCATAAGTCGAAACATAAGTAGCTTTACATTGAAAAGGAAGTTTTTGAACATTATGCGGGTCAATAACGAATTCACCTCTTGAATTTTCACAGATTTTCCCGAGAAATCTTTGTCAAATCCTTAGCTCCTTATTGTGAAGATTTAACCACCAAATTGTCACCATTTTAGTAGCGATGTCAGAATTCTATCAATCTAAAAAGATTGAAAAAGGACGAGAGAAAAATGGAATTTTGCCTTTATGTACATAACTCACTCTGTGATCATAATGATGCAGAAGACCTCTTTGTCTTCCTAACATAAGCTTGATCTGAAAGTTTCCCGAAATTCCTAGTGTTTTCTAAAGGAAGATGTAGAAAGTGCAACGAGGCTTGTATCACTATTACCTAAAACTAGTTAACTTACTATGTGAGAATAAGAAAATATTCTTATTCTGCGATTTTCACATATAGAAAAAAAGTATGAGGCAAAATAGGATTATCAATAACGTTTATGCATGAAATATGGACTGAGTTTGGCTCTGCAAGCCGGTGAAAGGCTTGAAAAAGCTGGCTTTCGAGTTTTCCCACCACGTTCGTCGCTGGAGAAGGAAAACAGAAAGTTAATATTTTCACCAGCTCAATTGAAGTCAATACGCTTCTCGTATATTTTCGATGAGTGCTTGCCCTTGCTTTCTCGCTTTCCCATGCCGTCATTCAAACGTCAGTGCGTTGATGTTTCGGTGGCGGATGAAGCGCTGCTCGTCTCGTGTGAGCCAGCCGCGGCCACGTCGTCGTCGTTTGGCCGTTGCTGATTACTCAGTGCTTGTTGGCGTGGGCCCTTCACACAAAAAAGTGGTTCGCTGACCGAGCCGAGACGAAAAAACACCAACACACGGCAATGGTGAGCCACTCATCGCCAACCGACAAAAACGCGCATTGCGCAGCAGCAGCAGCGAGAGAGCCAAGCAATGAATGTGACTTACAGCGCTGAAACGGAAAGTCGGGAATTCTTGTGCGTTGACGATCAGTTTGTCTGCTCTCTTTGCATTTATCAAGGATCCTTGTTGATAGTCTGAAGAATCGTCCAAAGTACAAAGTTATCTCACTTATAAAACTTTTATCTAACTTTTGAACGTCTCTTTCAAAATATCTAACGCTCAGAATCTACAGATAGCGAAACCCTCACTTCTGCTCTAATAATGCTATGTCTTTTCTCTATTTTAGGATAAGGAGGTGTCGGCAGCGTGCGTAAAGGTGCAAGTCCCAAATTTTGAGCCTTTTCGCTTAGAAAATCTGTCTACTCTTGCAAACTTCAATAAGGGTTTGAGTGTGAACGATTTCGTAAAAACTATCATATCACGTGTAGGTAAAAAAGCTAGCATGTTTGGTTTTGTTCAGTTCGGCACGCTTTTTTTTCAAAATCATTTTCGATGAGGTACGAGAGCATTTGAGAAGACTTAATAGGTGTTTAGCTGTTTCTTTATGGGAAAATTTTTTAAAACGTCCATAAGTTCACGTTCGTTCTCTTGCTTTTCGAACCGTTTTCACCGTGCAGATTCAACCAGAAAAGAATCAAAGTTATGGCTTGAAGTACCTCGCTGCTGCTTGTTTTGCCAATATGATGCAACCCTAAATCACTTTTTTATCCTGGAAAAATATCCTTTTTGAAAAAAAGATAGAACTAATGTATTTTCAATGTTCGGACTTGATCTAATATCAATCATAACTTATAATAAGGGGCTAAGGGTTGTTTACGTTTGTCTGTCTGTGTGTATGTGTGTGTGTGAATCTGTCTGTCACGAAATTCCTAGTACGAATTCCAGCCAACCTTCTCGGCTCAAATTTTGACAGCGCATGCTACCCGCATGAAAGTCCAACATGCAAAAGCACGAGCAGATTCGTTGAGTGGATCCGGGTGGAGGACATTAGGTCGCCGAATTTGGAAGAGTCCCGCGCGGATTCCCTGCAGTAACGCATGTCCGCGTATGTACTAGCGTGCGTATTTGTCGCAAATGACCGCGGGCACCGCCCTCTTTCGGCGACCTAATGTCCTCCACCCAGTGGATCCCTCAGAAACTGCGCGTCAAAGGGATCCACTTTTCATTTGAGCCGCAAAATTGGGTCCATAATTCCACTTTTTACAGAGTCGCGGATGTTTGTGCCAAGTAAATGTGCAAGTCATGAACTTAGGACCAAAAAGTGATCAAAAGTCCATTACTTTACAAGAACGGCGCTAAAAAGCATTGGTTGCGTAAATGGTCAAATTGCCAAGGTTCTACCGGAGTATTTGATGAGATTTTTGCACAAAGATATAGCTCACGGTGACTGTGTTCTTATTGCAATTGTCAACACCATGGGAAAATCGAAAACCTATAAAAATTTGCGTTTGTTCTCCTGCAAAAAGTCTCATCCACGCGAAATGACCGATTTCACATGAAAAGGCTTTCGGAATGAGTAGTTGTTTACATTTTTTTTGTGATAGTCTACATTGCTCGGTGAGTTCCAATGCCATCATTATGCGAGAATGAGTAGGGCCTAGATAGTAGAGCCAGTGCGAGCCTCTGCGAAGCAGAGGTGACGCCTGGTATAATATAACGATTTCTGAAAGTTTGGAGTTGAAAATGGTCGTTCTTAATTAGGAAACAGGATGGACTCAAGCTTTTGGTAAGTATCCTATTATTCATGAAGATGACATATCAATATTTTTTGGCTATGTTCGAAG